TTCAGATTCATAATTTATGTAAAATGTTGACCAGAAGCAGCGCTGTGATACTCACAAAAACACAAACATAGAGAGAAGTAAACAAACCAGGAGAGATACTGAGATTTTGGCAGCTACTGGACCCCAGTTTACGGTTCTTCCTCTTAATACAGTCAGAGTCTTTCCAGCTGAGCTGATCGTCTCTACAGTACAGGAGTATTTTCCTTCATCCTGACTGCTAACTGCATCTATAATCAGATGTTTGTTTGGTGTTTTAGTCAGACTCAGAGGCCGACTGTTCAAGTACCAAATGTAGTTTGTGTTTTCACTGAGAGGACAGCTGGTGCTGCAGGTCAAAGTGACTCTCTGACCCTCAGTGACCTCTGCAGCAGGTCGCACATCCACCAGGAGATCTGGAAGACAGTTGGACTAATCAGTGAACAGATGAGTAACATTTAGTCAGTGGTTCTATGAAAATAGACTCAAGAGATGTAACAAAATTGTAGTTTAGTAATTTTATTATGAATTACCTCCAGCTACAGGATGGGTTATTTTCATATTTAAGATATGAAATGTTAATTAAATGTACAAACGTTATGTTTAGCTAAACATAAAAATTCCAGACTTAGATTTTAAATTTTGTAACATGAACATTTTCACAATGGAGTGTAAGAACAACACATTTAGATGGGAAACAATTACATAAAAAAAATCATCATATTTACCTGTTACTATCAGAGTAACTCCAGGAAATTCAATTGATTTCCGTTTCCGTTGCTGTGTTTTCATTCTGAACTCGTATTCTCCTGAGTTTTTCTCCTCCAGATTGTTTAATCTGAGGATGTGTTGGTTCCTCATGTCATCCTGATAATTCACATCTCCTTTATTCTCCATCAGTTCTTCTTCTTCCAGCTTTGTATTTATCTTCACTTTATACCAGCGTTTAGTCTGTGGCTGCTCGTGTTCAGGATGTGAGTATTTGCTGGAGATGTTCACTGATGAACCTTTCAGGCCACATATTCTCCTGCTGTCATAACTCACACTCCAGCAGTCGCTGCCATCAGCACCTGAATATGAGAGAATGATGCATGAAAATTATTGCTCAAATTAAAATGTTTCTGAATAAACAGAAATTTATAATAAACAATGGTATTCTGTCTGTTTTAATCATTATATCAACACTACAGATTCATTCATACTCACAAACTTCATTAGAAAGCAGATCATGATGATCCTTCATTGTACAGAAGAAGCTCTCTGGTGCTGAGAAGGGAACTGAAGTATTTTGATTAACTTTCTGTTCACCAGTTTCTGTGTTTTTATACAACTGAACTGTTTTATTGTTAGTCAGAGAACAGCTGGAGCTGCAGGTCATCTTGGAATGGTTGTTGTGTGATTCTGTCCTTTCAACACGAACTTCTGTTGGGACATAATGAACATGTTTTAATATTTACTTTTTATGTTAATCAGACAAATTATTGAATTTTAAAAATAGTATAAGTAGATTGGTTGAACAGGTTGATAAAAAAAAGTATTTATTTTTTATTGTTGCTATAAAGATAGATTAGAGCAGATGTAAAACCAGCAGACTGTGTCATCACCTGTAGGAAATGTGATGGAGCAGGACTGGTTCTCTGATTTGTAGGAACACATCCTGCCTCCAGCGTAGGTCACACTGAAGCAGCTCCCTGAGACAGAATCTGAACAGAACCAGAGATCAGGAAGAGTCTGACCAGAAGAGATAGAAAAGAAACTAATCTTGCTCACTGACCCACTGAGACGTCAGGAGCTCTGAGATCCTCGTAGCCTTTGATAGCACAGGAGTATCTGACTGCCTGGTCACTGCTGACCAGCTCTTGGTACCAGGGGGACCAGTCCTCATAGAGGAACTCTCCGTTCTGGTACCAGATGAAGGCTGCAGGGCTTTCAGTCAGAGAACAGCTGCTTGAGCACATCAGAGTCACTTTCTGTCCCTCTGAGGCAGGAAACACCTTTACCTGAAGGTCTGAGATATTGTTGATAAAAGAAGCATAAATTTCCTAATCAGTAAATTATAACTCAAATATATTTAATATTTGTCTCCATACCTATAACTCTGAGCTGAATGCTGTTCTGCTCACAGCGGTCGGTTTCATCTGGTCTCTTTTTAGGAACAGTTTCACTGCAGCAGTAAATATTTCTCTCACACTCTGGTAGATCTCTGATTGTCAGAGTGAAATGATCTTCTGAAATTATGAACCTTTCATGATTTGTATATGCGGATATATCCTGATAAACATTTTCTGCACCACTCTTGCTCACAATGTACCATCTGATGTTTGCAGCTGAACGTGGAGCTGAGCAGCTCAGATTCACTGATGAACCTTTCAAAGCAAAGACGCTGTTTGGTTTTCCTTCGACACCTGAAACAAAGATTTGATCAACTAACACTTGATTTTCCTGTTTTTGCTGTAATTTTCTATAAAGTAACACATTCATCACACTGTTACAAACTGTGTCCATATTTCTAAATGCTGCATTAAGGTTCAACAAGTCAAATCTATGTTTGAACACAAACTTGCAAAATTAAATTAAAAAAGCTAAAGCAGTTCTACGTACCTGAGATGCAGAGAATATAAACCATCAACAAACATCCAGCTGCTGATAAAAACATCACTGTTGTTGAATTCTGCTATTAAAATAATGATAGAATTAATTTATTTGCTTTATTCCAGCTGCAGTTTAATGAAAGGTTATTAAAATAGTCAAAAGAAGAACAGTTCAGCTCAACAGCGTCTAATGAAAGCTGCTTCATGTGAATCTGTCTGATAGACTTGACAGTCACTTCCTACTTTATCATTTTCCTGTCAGAAAGAGGAGACCTCTAGTGGAAAACCGGAGACACTGCATCACTACTTCTGTTACTGATTTAGGATAATGTCCTATAAAATTCATATATTATTAAAACTTCATGTTTTATTTGAGTTGCTCCTGTTTTTAAAATAACACAAAGACACAGAGCTTGCATGCTACATCTTTGCGTAATCAGAAATGCATGTTCTATAAAAGCCAAGAAATAAGAATTTATTAAAAAAAAAAAATGTTGTGCTGGAATAGAAAAATCTGAGAAAATAGAGAAGCAGACATGATATATGCTTTAAGATGTAGAGGAGGCTTGAAAGTTTACATTAAAAAAGTAATAATTTGTAGAGGTCTGAAAAGGGCATAAACAGAATAAAAAAACTGCAGTCTGGTAAACTGAATAAAAATAACTGGAAAAATAATCATAACTTGTATATTTGATTCAAACAAAAGCAGTACAAAATTAAAAATCAAAAACACCTGCTTTTTCAACTTAAATCAACATTTATTAGTTTGGTTATCCTCTTTTTTATG